GGAATGTAGGAACAAATCCAAAAGCTCGCAAAATAGTAAACAAATAATCCCAGGTTAAGCTACCAAAGGCTTTATGGAGATCCAAAGAAAGAAGCAACAACTCCCGAGAGAGAGGAGCATCCCAATTAGAGCGGACAGTGGATATCAAAGCTATGGACCTACGAATCTGATCCAATGTTTGGCGACCAGATATGAAACCCGATTGGTCTTTGTGAATATATTGTGCTAAAAAGGAATTAAGCCACAAGACCAAGAGTTTTGTCAGGATTTTCAGGTCACAATTAGCGAAATAGGCCTATAATTAAGTGTATCGGTAGCATCATTAGGGATGACGCTAATCTATGCTTTATTTTGAAGTAAAGAGCCATATGGGGGAGAAGTTGTTCAGAAGGTTTTGTGGTAAACCGTTGGGGCCCGAGGATTTATGTGACGTTAGTAGTTTAAGAACCCTACCAAGCTCCTTGCTAGTTGTAGGCTGTTCCATAAGTTCCCTGTAGGCTTCAGCAAGAAATGGAAGACGCAAAAGGTCCCAAAAAATCCTGAAGCAAAGAAGGCTCAATGGGCCGGGGTTGACTGTAAAGAGAAGCATAGAAATTATTAAATTCCAGAAGGATCTTCTGAGGATCCTGTGAGATATGCCCTCCAAAGAGCCCGAGCTTAAGAAGGTCCGAATAGATATGTTTAGGGGAAAGGTTACATGCTAAGAGAGCCTGGTATGTCCCCCCATGTAAAGAATTTCTGGTTCATCCATTGTAGTTTTTTTCCGCCTTGGTGGTGAGACAAAGATTAAGTTTTAAATGAGCTTGCTCCACCTTAAAAGGAACAAGTCCGGGGATGGGGCAATTTTGTGTTGAGCTAAGAAAGCCTCATATTCCCTAGTTTTGGCAGAAGTCAACTCTTCGGGAGATTGTTTAAGTCTAGAGGATAGTTTGATAAAAAAACCTCTGATAGAGGCTTTGTGAGCTGCCCAGTTAATAGCAGGGGTCTTCCGCTTTATTAATGGTAAAGAAAGAGTTCAAGTGCTCTACTACATCGAGGCGGATTGATTCATTGACAAGAAGGGACTCATTCAATCGCCAATGCGGCTTGGCCAGGTTGGTAGTTAAATTAGAGAGAGTTAGCATCACTGGGTCATGGTCTGACCAGGTCGTCGACACAATTTTAGTGGAGCTCAATCTGGACAGCATCTGCATAGGAAGAAAGATGTGATCAATACGAGAGTAATGATTGTGAGCTATAGAAAAATGAGTGAAGTCTCTAGAGGTAGGATTGGCTTCCCTCCACGTATCAATCAAATTATAGCGGTACAAAAGATGTGCAAATTTGCGACTTTGTTTCGGAGGGGATTTAAGTTTGGTTGTATGTGATTTATCAAGCATTTGATCCAAGGCCAGATTCGAGTCCCCCGCCAAAATTACATCACCTTTTAACTCTGGAGATAAAGATTGAAACAGGGATTGAAAAAAAGGCTAACTGATTCACCTTAGGGGCATAATAAATGAGAAAACTCACAAAAATTCCCCCTAAATGGCCTTTGACCAATAGATAATCGCCCTTCTTTGTCCTGTATCACTTTAGATTCGGTAAAGGATATCCATCATGCTAGACAGAGTGCTACCCCTCGTTTTTTTTTTTCAGATGCATTAGTGAAGAAACATACAGGGAAGTCCCTATGAATATACCTAGGTGTAAAAAAGGAAGCAAAATGGGTTTCCTGCAGTGCAACTATATCAGCTCCTAGGGACTTATAATGAGAAAAAACCTTGAGACGTTTACAGGGGGACCCCAATCCTTGCACATTATGGTCTTAAGGTGGACATTGAAAAAAGTCAAAACAGCGATGGTGAGATCCATACCCCCATCCGTATGGGTTCCATGTATCCCGGACCAAATAGGAAATCCCGAGATGACCTTCAATTAGAAACCATGAAAAAAAAGGTGGGAAGAAAAAGAGAAGAGACAAAAGACGGTGAGCCCAGAAAAAGGCTAGCATCTAACCAAGTGGCAAAATAACAATACGCATGAAAAACAGTAGAATACCAAATATCCCACACAAGAAGTCAAGAAACAGAAGAGTCTCCACCAAAGCAAAGCAATAAGGGGAGTCTTTCGATTACAGATAGCACATAGATTCTGCCCATCGCCATGGGGTCTGTAAAAAACATGTACGTTAAAGGCTCCTAACACCAATAGCTAGAGTATCTGGCATGTAAACAGACTAGCCCATAAAAAATTTGAAGTTAATATGACTAGAGAGCACAGCTTTTTTTTTTTTAAATGGTTGATGTGACAGGAGTTACTTTGGGTGGGGGGCCCATGGAACCCAGCTCACTTTAGAGAGGTGGGGAGACCCCTGTCTCAGCTCCCAATATCCCTAGTATGTGTAAGTCACCCTGTGCCTGTTAGGGGTACAGGGTGATCTGTCCTAATATTGGGGTGGGGGGGTTGTTGATTGTTTAATGCCATATGGTTGCATCCCATTGTTCTATTGTGTGTCTTGCTTGGAAGCAAACTATTATGGGATGTATGTGTTTATGTATATTAGCAAAAGTGTGTGTGTGTGTGTGTGTGTGTGTGTGTGTGTGTGTGTGTGGGGGGGGGGGGGGTCTCCAGCAGTCCTCCATCCTGATGGGACTGTCTGCTGGTAAAGTTTGAATACCTGTGTGTCTCTTGTTGCTAAGTGTAGCTTGCCCTGCAGTGTGACATTATGCAGGGAGGGGGGATTTGTCCCGAGTGTATAAAAAGCCAGTTCGGGTTTCAAATAAAGAGTTCCATGTTCAGACAGACTGGTGTCGCCTAGTCTTGTTTGGTCGGCTGTGGTGTCTGTGATTGGTGTTTGGACGGGGAAGCGGTATTATAACGGAAGTACCCAAGCACAGACTGGGTCGGTTCCGTTACAGTTGAACTGGATGGGCTTTTGTCTTTTTTCAGCCAGACTAACTATGTAACAACAAACGTGGAGGCCAATGGCCAACAGGACCAAGGAGAGGTCCACGCCCAGTAGAAAATCAGCTAGTGACCAGCAGAGTCCTTAAGGAACATGACATGGAATAACAGGTTTCTTCTTCCTGGGAGATGAGGAACACAGAAGTGAAAGTGGGGGAGGAAAGAAATCAGCATTGGGAGGAATCCACGAGGACTGAGAAATATCTGCAAAGACTTGAATCTTGTACCGATCGATTTCCAAGTCTGGATGTTCCCTGGCATAGAGCATCACTGCCTCTTTAATTCTGAAAAACGTAGGTTTAACGATTATATCCAAAAGGGGGCCCATCTGGTTTTAAGAGGACCAGAGCTCTATGGATGCGGTCTATCTCCATGTGGATTTCGTCAGTATCCAGCACTGCGGATAGTATAAGGGAGTAGGCGATTGAAGCAATACCTTTGTCTGTTTATGGTAGGCCTCTAATCCGGCGGGCGCGGTTTTCAATGTCGTCTATTTTAGTATAAGCTTCCTCAAGGCGATCTTATAGGTCTGCAATCCTATTGGAATTCTGCGACACCCTGTGAACTGTGTCATCAACTTTATTTTCTCCAGGCGGTTTCCGATCTCCCTAAAATCCTGCTTTAGGTCAGAGGCTAGTTTAGTGGTAGCTTTTTCCAATTCTCTTTGAAGTAAATCAGCAAAACGAGCAATAAGAACGGAGTTTTTTTTTTTTTAAACTGGAAAAACTTGAAGTTACAGCCAAGCACATAACATCCACTCAAAAAAAAAAAAAAAAAAATGGAGACCCCCACGTACAAACATAAAATCAGATGCTGGAGTGCCTACATATGAAAACGTTGATTGTGATACACGTTACATATCGGTGCACACGCCAGAATGACAGCAATAATTCTAGCACCAGAGCCCCTCCGTAACACTATACTGATGACCTATAAGGGGCTATAAAAGTGTCGCCTATAGAAAATATAGGGTACTGAAGTACGAGCGTGTTGGATATTTATTTACTCGCAACTTCATCTTTTATATTTTGCAAAATTAGGGCAATTTTTTTGTGCTCTACAATTAACTTGTGTATCTTTTTACTGAACTTTTGCGGTAATATGCAACATAAAAGAATGGAACTACCACTATTTTATTCTCTAGAGTCTCTGCTTTCAGAAAATATAGAATTTTGGGTGTTTTGTGTAATCTTTCAGCCTAAAATGATTTTTTAAACTTGTGCAGAACAGGCAAAACCGGTTCTGGCAGCAAAAGGGATAAAGGAGAAGCCGGACAATCCCCTTTCCTGACAAGCACCCAATCAGTGCTCATTACATTGCAAGGTCTATCCCCTTCCCTGCTAGTCCCTGGCTGCAGTGCTGGAGACAGGCAGAGAGGGGAGAGGGAGATAAACAGCGCAATGTTCAAACGTTTAAGTAGCCATAAAGCCCCTTTTGTTTTTAAAAGCCCCAGACATTTCTAAAAGCACCTCAGATTTAAATACGGTTTTGGTTCAAATTTATTTATTTTTTTATCTGGACAAGTAGATTGTCATTAAGGACAATTGGAACTCCAATTTAGTCCCTGGACAAGTAGTTTTTTCAAAATGTCAACACCTCTGTAATGGGTATTGTACATTTTAATTAACATTTTTGGATAAAAAGGTCAGCAAAGGCAGTCCTTGTATTTCTCTCATGACAGATTGTAAAGAGGTGTTAAACTCTGGTTGGAAGTAATGCCAAAAAGAGAAAAAAAAAAAAAAAAAAGTAGGCAAAAGATCAGTCACCAATACAGTGTGTGGTCTCCCTAATCACTTGCCTACTTACTATGCATGGTGTTTCTGTGGACAGGTGGCCATTTTTGTAGAAGCAGGGATTTGCTTCCTTATGTCAGAGCGATCTCATGAGACTTAAAGTCAGAGGTAGCAATGCCATAGATCTCACTCTGCAGAGATAAAGCTAAGAATCTATAGGTACAGGAGTGCCTCGGCAACCTCAGAAAGTGACATAGCGGAAGTCCCTGGTGGTTAGCATATAAACTGTATGTGCACATGAAGATTCTGAAACAATCCTACCTGCCGCCAGATTCGATCTCCTTACACAACGTCTCATCCAGTTCCATTAGACAATAATCCCCGGAAGTGAAAGTATTACTGAATGCCAGGCACTGGGCAGTGGTCCGCAAATCCTGCACATTCAACTTCGCTATCTGCAGGGTAGCCTCCACTTCCTCCCGAGATCGACTCATTGCAAAAAAAGAAACTGTCCCTCTAGATCACACCCAAACCAGAAGGACAAAGAATGATGGCTGCAAAGGATGCTGGTCTACTAGAGTGAAAAAAAAAAAAGCAGAAAGTAAATCTGAGGATACATACTATGCAGGATGCAAAGCTGCAGCAGTTAGTGGCTGAGTGACAGAAATTCACAGCAATATGGAATATTATGAGCATTATGAGGGACTCCAGGCAAAAGAAATTGATACTATGGGGCAGGGTGGATAAAAATCAAATGAAAAAAAAAAAAAAAAAAAAAAAATTGGATTTTTTTTATTTAAATCGGATTTTTTTTTATTTAAATCGGATTTTTTAAAATAAAATGCTTTTTGAGGAAAATATATTACCATCCAAAGGTTATTCCATCATGAAATAAAGATTAGTTTTTTAATTATGTAGAATAAGGCTGTATATGTTAAATTTTTTTGGTAAATAAATTAATCCATTCACAATGTCATGCTCTTCCAGAGGTTTTTGTAAGATTATTGGGCAGTTTCTCTGCCTACAAAATATTATCACAGATGCTTGGTTTACTTTTGCAGTTTTCAAAACTGAATTTGACTCAGCGGAGATCACATGCCTCGTCTTCACACCAAAAATGTTATGACATGAACAGAGTTAAGAAAAAGACCTTAATCCTAACTTCTACAAACCTATGAATACAGAATCAACTAACTTCTTACAAACCTATGAATAAATACAGAATCAACCCCTTCAGTGCTAAGTTTCAAGAAGTTCAGTGAATAGAATAGAAACAATATTTTTCTGATTGTTAGGAGTGGAATAGATCTGCACAAGAAGAAAGTGAAACGAAGTGTGAGGAGGAAGGTGCTGACAGTCTAAGTTTCTTAAAATATATATATTTTGTTTAGCCAAATTAGTTAACAAACATGGATGTTTGTTTAAGCAAATAATATATGCTGTAATGTTATTGTTTCAGATGAATAAATCTATTTAAATTGTTATTATTAAGGTAATGATTATTTTTCTCCTTCCTAAGTACAACAGAAAAGTTGTCCAAATATAAATGATTAACCTATTAAACTGGGGATAAAAAAAAAAACTATGAAAAGTTGTTATTCTAAAAATCTTCATCTACTTGCATATTAAAGTTATACCAGCAAGAATTAGTCTATGTAGAAAACTATGATTTAAATCAAGCCTTACTGACTAGTGATTTAAATCAAATCCACCCTGCTATGGGGCATTCATCAAAGCAGCTTTGCATGAAAACCAATCAGCTTCCATCTTTCATTTTCAAAGCTTAACCCCTTGACGCAGATCTCACGCAAATATGTGGCCTCTCGGCATCTGGGCCTTGACGCCGAGTGGCCGCATATTTGCGTTCAATTAGAAAATACATATGTGCTGAGAGTGCGAGCTCCCAGCACGTGTCCGTGACTCCCGGAAAGGTCCCGCTCTCCCTTTTCAATCGGGATCTTTTCCAATCATGTGACCGCTGTGATGGCGAATCACGGCGGTCACATGACCCTAAAACCCCACCCCGCCTCCCGGCTTTTGAAACTCTTAAAGGGCCAGGAGGCGCCGGTGCGAAGAGGTTAAAATGACCAAGCTGAAGATTAATAGTTGCCATGCACAGCTACTCCAGATTCTGTCTGCTTCAGTTTTGACAGGTTGCTAGCATGCACCAATTTGTTAGAGTTAAGAACTATTATGGATGTGTTCAGTGATCTTAAGCCGTCATTTTGAAGGTTGGAGTGAATCAATCCCAAACTGTTTGCTCCAGAGAAGAAGACTGAGATAATTACAAACAATTAAAATAGAGTGGTTAAAGCTTGTAACCTCCAAGCTACAATGGATGCTGAGATGGACCACACAACTCCACAGCTACATACTGGACATCTGTCAGTCTACTCGACCAGCTATATTTTCTGCTTTGCTTTGAACATCTGAGCAGATATATTTACTTCAAAATTTCTTTGCATGTTGCTTCAAGCATTATTACTAATATTGCTGCAAACCCTTAGTGAATACTATGTGTATGCTTTTTCTTTTATAGGCCTTTTATAGACTAAGGGGTCAATTCACTAAAGGCATGTGATATGAAGGTCACATTACTCAATTTTCAGAAATATCGCATGAGATGATAAAAGAGTCAATTCATCAAAGTACAATATCAATTGTGAAGTAAATACCACACATTTGTTAAAATACTGAGATAAATGCAGCAAAAAAAAACAAAAAACACACATTCGTTATTTATCACCAGGTGTTTTGTGGCCCTATTTTAGAAATGTACAAAATAACAATTAGAGGAACTCTGCACTGGCCAGAAAGTGAAAACTATTCAATGTATCAGTGTAAAAAAAAATGTTCTCCTCTGAGCCCAGGAATGAAAATAAATTGTAATATTTCATCTGAGGGAGCTCATTTTGTGAATGAAAGCACACTACAATATTTTCATAGTTTCACAGTATTGCTGTGTAAATTCTGGTGCAATGTTAGCCTGCAAAAAAATTGTTAAACGCTAAAAATAATGCAAAATTTAAGTGCTAAATATCGCAAAACATAAATATTTAATGCATTTGGTAAATAATGCATGTTTTTTAGTGAATTAACTACTTTTGAAATAAATACTGCATGAGTTATTTTAACTCAAAACCTCATGCGGTATTTATCTTAGTGAATTGACCCCTAAGGCGGATCACAGGAAGCAGCTATATATGAAATTACACAATCAGTTACTGGCATCCATACGGTTTTACTGCTGTCTGGCCAACCTTAATGAATATAAATAATGGACATTCCATGCTAGAGACCCATCTCAATGATGGAGTGTATACACCCTAATCACGGATATCCTCCTATTCATTACTATACAATATACTATATTAACTATTACCCTACTATATGATATAAACTATTAATATACTACACAAACCATTACCATACTATACAATATAATGTATATTATTACTAATATATAGTCCCATGGGTAGCCACCACACTCTGTGTGTATGGTAAATGAGGTGCTCACCCACAAACAGGTACGTACATATCCAAAACAGATATAAAGGCACTCATGGGGCTTGCAGCAGAGATCAATCAAAACAGCACTATTTTTTTGCCAAAGTTAGGATGAAGCGCAGTCTTGAGAACGATGGACTAAGCTTCACTGAAACATTGAGATTTTATTCCAGAATCTACTACACTATTAGCGGTCCTTGTGTGTGCATCTGAGCACTATTTCTAGGAAATACAAGTGCAGCTGACCTCTTAAAAGGGACCAAAACACTGGAGGGGCAGAGATCAGGAACCAACCACATGGAATAAGGACAGTATATCCATCACCAAGCGCATAAGACCTATGTGATTAGGGGTCAAAATTGCAGGTGAGCATGCAATTCACAAGGAGGTGAAGGAATGTGATGTATAAAATTGTATAATATATGGCCAGCCTAAGAGCAGCACTATACTAATTTGATTGCAATAAAACACTGTTTTGATCTGTGTGTAATATATACATATTAAACACAAATACATACTGTATAAATATATACATACAGTATATGCACAAACACACATACTATTACTATACAATAAAGACTATTCGTATATTATACATAATATATACACAATATTCAGGTGTTCCAATCACCTCCATGGCCACAGGTGTATAAAATCAAGCACCCAGACATACAGACTGCTTCTACAAACATTTGTGAAAGAATGAGTCGTTCTCAGGACCTCAGTGAATTCAAGCGTGGTACCATGATAGGTTGCTGCCTGTGCAATAAGTCCATCCGTCAAATTTCCTTGCTACTGAATATTCCATGGGTAACTGTTCGTGGTATTATAACAAAGTGGAAGCAAATGGGAACAACAGCAACTCGGCCATGAAGTGGTAGGCCACGTACAATGACACAGCGGGGTCAGCATATGCTACAGTGCACAGAAGTCGCCAACTGTCTGCAGAGTCGACAGCTAAAGACCTCCAAACTTTGTGTGGCCTTCAGATTAGCACAACAGTGAATAGAGAGCTGTATGGAATGGGTTTCCATGGCCGAGCAGCTGCATCCAAGTCTTCCATCACCAAGTGCAATGCAAAGTGTTGGATACAATGGTTGTACAGCACGCCGCTACTGGACCCTAGAGCAGTGGAGACGTGTTCTCTGGAGTGACAAATCACGCTTCTCTGTATGGCAATCCAATGGACGTGTCTGGGTTTGGCAGTTGCCAGGAGAACAGCACTTGCCTGACTGCATTGTGACAAGTGTAAAGTTTGGTGGGAGGGGATTATGGTGTCAGGTTGCTTTCCAAGGGTTGGGCTTGGCCCCTTAGTTCCAGTGAAGGGAACTCAACCTCAATACTGGGCACTTTTCCCCCTTCCTGCCCAGGACAATTTTCAGATTTCAGTATTGCAGCACTTTGAATGACAATTGCGTAGTCATGCAACACTGCACCAATAAAACCAGAGTTAGGCTTACTGGTAACTCCTTTTTTTCCAAGTCTTCCAGGACAGCCCCTTGAGACAGAGCTCCTCCCTCCGGGTCAGGAAACACACCATCCCCCACGCCTTTAAAGGCAGACCTCCAGGCCTCCATCTGCACTTTTTATTCGAGAACTAGCAGAAGACACTGAAAGACACAAATATATATACATGTAGATAACCCCATATACAACACTTGTACATTTGAAGGGTGGGAAATTGCGACTGTTCTGGAAGACTCGAAGAAAAAGAGTTACCGGTAAGCCTAACCCTGGTTTTCTCCTTACGTCTTCCAGGACAGCCCCTTGAGACGATAATCAAGAACTTACCCCCTTAGGGCGGGCCCACTGCCTGGAGGACCCTGTGTCCGAATGCCTGCTCCTTATTTGACAGAAGATCTAGGTGGTAATGCTTGACGAAGTTAGAGAACTTTGACCAGGTGGCTGCCTTACAGATCTCCTCCGGCGAAGCCCCGTCCCACTCTGCCCAAGAAGCTGCTAAGGATCTCGTTGAGTGGGCTTTAAC